GTGGTAGAGCGTGCACCGTAGATGCTAGTGACTCAAGGCGTCTTCGTTTTGGCCCAAATAAATCTGTGTATTTTTTATATTTATTTATTTATTTATTTCTTTCAATGTTTCAATCATCCTGTGGTCAAACTAATGCCTGTAAGATGGTATTGAAAACACATGTCTCTACAAGGACCTATATAGTGCCCATCTGGATGTGTGTGTGTGTGTGTGTGTGTGTGTGTGTGTGTGTGTGTGTGTGTGTGTGTGTAGCTTCATTGAAAACCTCCCAAAGTCTCACAGGAATGTGGGATTGAACAGAAGCTATAGGGGTATTAACCTAGATCCGTACGTGTCCTTTTGTGAGCTCAGATTCACACAAAACGCCAAGCTTTATCGTTTCAGTCGATTCCACTGATCATGATTGGAGATTTAATGGAAAAATGACAGCTGCACTTAAAAGTGTGTGATTTGCTGAGATTTGCGAGCTGGATCCTGTTCTCTATTTTTTTTTTTCTGCTGCAGTCAACATCCTCGTGCTCTGTTAAATCTCTGCGGCCCTCGCCGATGAATAATAGAGGAGGGTGGTTTGTCGTGGTGTGAGAAGCGAGCGGCTGTCTGCCTGCGTATGGGCTCCCGGTTGTGATTAGAAAGGAGAAGACAAAACAGAGCAGTGGTAAGAAGTCAGAATGGAAGCGAGTTGCTGTGAGGGCAAAGTTTCGAAGCTGAAAATGTCACTAGTGAGACTACAGGTACAAGACTGACGGAGAGAGTCTCGTTGTAGGTTTTATCTGTTGGGTTTTCCATCTGTAACACATTATCCCTTCCTGGTGGCAGCGCTAACACCAGCTCACGTGCTGGTTTAAGAATAACACTGCTGGTGTTAGTTCTGCAGCCAGCTGAGCGCTTTGTTTTCTTTATGGGTGTTTTTGTGGGAGCAGCGGTTTCTCTAATCTTTTTTTCTCTCTCTCCCTTTCTCTCTGATTTCGTAAGCCATCATTACAAGTTCCATGTGTGTGTGTCAGCTGTTGAACAAAAGGTGTTTTTACCATAGACATTTTTTTTTTTTTTTGTTTGAATGGGCCAAACTGATCCAGAAGTTTGTGGGACCACTTCACTGTACGCCCTGTCACCTCTCAATTGATGTGTTTTTTCACGTGTGATTTGCAGAAAAGGACAAAAATAACAGGAGTTAATCTGCTTTACTGAACAAGTAGAGTCTTTTGGGAGAACAGGAATGGAGTTTTCACCTTGTGTTTTTTTTTTTTTTAGTTCTTTTTTTTTCTTTTAGCCAAGCCATTCAGAATGGCTGTTATATGTTTTGGGGAAATAAAGTAAAACTGAGCATAAAGCTTTATAAATTAGCATGCAAACACTGTGCTGCACTGGCATGATATCTGACAAAGCTGTCACCTGATGTGTTTTCCAAAAAATAATATATATTATTGTATAATAATAACAGTGTATATTGGTTACTGTTTGTAACCAACTTAACAAAATGAAAGAAAAGGGCTGTAGAGGTGCTTGTATATTGAGACAAAGGTGTGTAAACTGCGGACTCTTAAGGGCCTGTGAGGGTAGACTCTTTCCTGAATGTCTTCATGAAAACCTTTTTGAACCTGCACAGAGCAGTCTCTCACTGCACGCCACGCTCCTTTTCGCTTTCGGCAACCAGCAACAATTTCTCTGTGATAACGTCACGCCACCGCAAACATTCCTTTTCGCAGTCATTCTAAACATACCGGAGCATCTTTGTACAAATTAGACATGTTTTTCCCAAAAAGTGTCGCCATTAATCACAAATGGAGTGTCTCCCCTCCCTGAGAAATGTAAGCAGGATGTTTCCAGCATGTGTTGTTCTCTTTGTGTTGAAAATGCTCTTTTATCGTGCCATTTACTCTCATCTGCGTCACCCATTTCTCATATTCTAAACACACACACACACACACACACGTGTCTGCGAGAGCCAGAGCATATATTGGCAGATTTCCTCTGTGTAATCACATCCAACGGCAGAACAAAAGAGCAAGAAAGGCAAGAGGGAGGGAGGCATTGTTTAGAAACTGGAGATGCTTGAATGGAGTACAGAGGCGATAAGTGGAGAATTCTGTCGATGCCTGCCAGTAGGATGGGTCCTAATTTGCTTATTTGTCGCTGCCACTTGTGCCTTTGTGCGCCTGGCGGTGTCGACCAGTTGACTGGCAGTGACTTTGTGCAATAATCCTGCAAAGAAGTTTTTTCTGGCCGCTATTTAACCCTGAGTCAGCCTTTTTTTCGGAGCTGTCACTCGGGAGATCTGGACAGCTGCCGTTCATTTTCGTTTTTTTCTTTCTTTTTTTTTTAGATGCTTGAACGATTGTATTTTCCCCCCCGCTCCTTCAGCCCGCCCTGGCTCACTGATAGACTCTTATCTCATCTGCAAGCTTGTTTACTCTGGGCTCCTTTGCAAGGTTTTGCAAACCGCTGCCAGAGCTTGTCATGTTTCTCAGGACTGTTGATGCACTTTTCAGTTTAACAGGTTGACATGGGAAATCGCTACAGGAAGAGATGTGGGAAGGATATCCTCACCTCTGCTCAGTTTCTCTCCTCCTACATTTTGTCATTAGTCAAAGTTTCTGGTCCCATCTTTTTTTTCCTTATCATATCCACCATATTGATATACACTGCATTTTTTTTCTGTGCCTTTCTCTCGTTGTCTGCTCCCCTTCTCTCTTTTTAACTCTAGGGATAATTAGGACAATCTCTTTTTTTTTATCCAGCTGTAATCTGACCCCAGCTACCCATTGCACACACACAAAAAAAACATTCAGAAATGAACTCAAGCCTTCTATGAAAAATCTCTGTTTTTTGAGCTTGGTTCGAACATTGCCATCCATACAGAAAGACCACATGGTGACAAGAACATTTTGGTGATTAAGAGTCCTACTTGTTCAGTCTCTTGTTCAGAATGACGAAAGCGAAGGAAATGCTCGAGGAAAAAAGAAACAGAGACATAAGCAGTCTGCTCCACCTCCCAGCTGTTCTCTGTCAGTGCCCCTCCAGGTGGGGCTTTGCTGTCAGCTAAGCCTCCCCCCTGCTGAGACCTACAGTGGCAGATTGGCAACCATAATACTACGGCTCACTTTATCTGCCCGAATTAAACCAATTGAAGAAAGGGTTATGGGAACTGTTAGCTATGGGGGAGATTCTTATTCATTATTTGATTATTTTCTAGAAATGAGGTGTGTGGCCATGTTTGGGGGAAAGAAGAACTGTCATGGGAGGGATAGGGGGTATCAGTTTGAGTATTAAAAACTGAAGTAAAACATCTAGTTGCTGAGCTGCTGTTAGCCATTTATAAGAGGAATGTTTGTTTGCCCTCCAAAGGATGGGCTGGGTGTGTGTGTGGTTGTAGGAAGTGCTCGTGAAGCAAGCAGGATGTGCAGGAAGTGTTTGGCTTGGCTCAGCTGGCAGATTGGTTGGTGCTCTGAGGATTGCTGGTAGGGCGAGATGGAAAGGAAGAATCTGCTTATTTTGTCGGTTATCCGCCTAGTATTTTCCAGCAGAAACGTGCCACAAAGAACACACACGACGATAAAGGACAAAAAAAAGTAACAGTGTTACTACAGAAAAAATCGGTTCAGACCAAACTTTTGACTCAGCTAAGGGAGTCATCCTTCAGTTTGTCTCTGCTGTGTGTAAAAAAGGGAGCTTGATTACTTGAAACATGGGAGTCTGATAAATGTCCGATACTCCCACTTATTACGTAACAAGTGTCAGTGTCGACATTGCAGACATCAGAAAGAGCAAAGTATTGGTGTCAAAATCAAGCCCAATTTAGAGGAAATAGGTTATTTTGGGACTTTTGACCAATCGAGATGACCTTCAACTCTCTATTACTCATTTTAAAAATAATGAAAATAACACTCTTCATCTAAAGGAATCATCTAAAAGAGTTTTTTTGCACACTGAATTGGGGTATTCAGTGTGCAAAGAAACTCTTTCAGAGGGCCTGGTAAGTTAGAAACCAAGTAAAAATAGATACTGACAGGGACGTACATTAAACAAGAGAAGACTCGTTTTGACTTAGAGAGAGGAAAGAGCTGGCAGAGTCATGAATGGGAAGTAAGGCAGAGCAAACAGAAGTGCTGAAAGATGTGACAGGAGGGAGGGAGTAGTTATCAGTACCGATGAAACCCCGTTGCCAAAGTCTCCATATGTCAGTACATCTTTCCCTCTCTGTCTCATTTCTTTGGTCGACAGCTGATGGGATGATAGCCCGCTAAGGCAAGGTAAAGATGGGGTCTTATGTCTGGAAGGAGGAAAACAGACAGAAAAAGGAGAAGATGAGCGCTTGCACACATGACCTTAGTCTTATCGCTGTCTTCAACTACAGTCTGGGCTGCGTTTTTCTCCTCAGTCGTGGTGCAAGGTCATGTTTTTCATTCTCCTGGGCCTACTCCCCGATTCATCAACCCCATGCATTATACAGTAGCTATATTGTACATGCTGACCGACTAGATTCCTGAGGGAAGCACTTTTGAAATCTGAGGGACAGAAGCAGAGAGAGTAGCAGAGCGACTGCGCCGATATCCTCAACCACTGCTTGGCTGTTGTGCTGATTTGTTGTTGTTTTTTTTTAAATATGAGGTGTTCTTGACTTAATCGTCTGAAGGGGCTAGATGAATTTTCCCGTTTTTCCTGGATGGTTTTCAGATTCAACACCTGCACTCACACTTCACCAGATGTGCCACGCTCTCTGTGCCAGCAGCTGTGGTAAAAAAAAGAAAAGAAAGACATGAATTAGCTCAAGTAGTTTTCAAAGTTTCCATTGGTATGACAGAGTCGTGCTACTTTGGGTTTCCACTGTTTCGCTTTGAAATGTTTTATACTGAAACAAAAATAACTTTAACGCAAACAGCCTAAATCTATTAATTTGATTTCAAACCTTCGTTTTTTTTTCTTTCTTTCAATTTCTCCTAAAAGATTCATCGGGACAGGTGACCTCCTCACCCCTCGGCTCGCCAACATCCCATCGAGGAATGCACCCGTCTCTGCTCAGCCCAACCACCATGGGGCCCTCCAGTTCCCTCCACTCACCTATCAACACCCTGAATTCACCGATGAATGGCCTGGCATCACCCTTCTCCGTTATTAGCTCCCCCATGGGGCCCCACTCTATGAACTCGCCAGGCATGGGCTACGGCCCCAGCGTCAGCCCCCAGGTGAGGCCTGTAACAGATTAGATTGAATGCTTATCTGCCACTGTGGTTGAAATTTACTGAAGTGGGACAAACAGAAAGTGGTAAAAAATCCTTAATAGCACCAATTGGAGCTTATCAGGCACAGCTCGAAGACTTGTTGTCTTTTTATGATTAGTCTTGCCTCCTAGGTTTTTAAAATACAAATACATTTGTCATGGTTTTTTATGGGGAATGGAGAGCGCACAAGTGACAAAGGGTCTTTAAAACCCACAGATGGCCAAACAACTGCAAAAAGGGAAACCCTTTTAGGCCTGGCTCGTGACAGCATCCTTCTTTTTGAACATTATAATTATTGAAAATTGTGCTGTTTATTTTATACATGAACACACTGAACAGTCAGAGTTTCTTCACTGGTGCGGTAACCTTCATACTCCTTTATGCTCAGGGACATTTATAGTGAAAATATAGATTACAGCCCAGGTACGTTCTAGTTTGTAAATCAAAGCAAAAACAAATTATCTTAAATTAATCTAAGCCACAAAAATTGAGTATGCATGGCCCTTTCTAGGTATTCCAGATCTAGATAAAAGTGGTTAAAATGGCTTTCTTTAATTAATTGAGTTTTTTTGGTATAATATAGTCATATTTTTTTAAACAATAATCAGCCAAATTTTGAATGCATTTAAAGTAATTACCAGGCAGAGTATATGTCCGGGCCTTCACAAAGCTGTATTAGGAAAATGTTATAGTGTTTCCTATACAAGTAATAACGAAAGGTTTGGTTGTGGGTTTTGTTAAATTACGTAGAGTAGATTTTGCAAATGGTAACAAATATGTTTATGCACATATGTGCAAAACATATGTTATATACCTGTACCTCTGACTTTTGCAGTAATAATGAAGTTTAAGCTTCTTTTTTTTAAACAAAAAAAGATTTAGCAGCCTTCATTAGTTTTTTTTTCTTTCACTGAAAAAGTTTTTCCTCACAAAGAAAAACTGGTGCCTGCAAATTTTGTCTCAGGTCTTAGAAACTAGACCCAGATGTCTCAGAAGTGCTAATTACAGTCAGTGACACTTGCACATATAGGCATTATGATTTTTCTAAGCCAGGCTTCAGCAGACAGAGGCCCCGCTCTGACCTCATGGCACAGTCAATTAAGCCCTATTCAGCAAGGATCCCACAGTGCTTCAGCTCTGTCACTCATTCTGCCATCGTTGAAGCATGCTTGTCACGCTCTACCACCATATCTCACTTTCTTCTCTGTCCTTTCGTTCTTCTTTCTTCCCCGGCTGTCCTCTTTTCCCCCAGTTCCCCTTTCTTGTTATTATGCTTTGTCTTTGTCACATACCATCCATTTTCTCCTTCATCTCTGGTGTTCCTTTAATACGCCTCGGTTTCCTTGATATTAAAACCACACATACACACGCATACACAATTAAGACATCAAAGCTTTCAGTGGCCCAATTTCTGTCTGAAGCCGTATCTGAAATTAATATAATTTCCTTCTGGAAGATGCGTTCGCTGACCCTTTTTCGGTGTTTATTGATAATTGTGTTTTCGCTCCGTTAGCAATGCAGTGGATGTGCTCCTCTTGTTGCTGTTAAGCCTATCTGCACCTTCTTAACAAACATGTCCCACATGTAATGGAGTTAGGAGTGGATTAGCGCGGTACTTTGAGAAAGTCGCCAGACTCTTTCATTGCTAGAGAGCGCTCATCATTTATACCCCCCCACCCCCCACCCCCACCCTTCTCTTTTGGATTTGTCACCGCCTTTTAATTCAGGCACAAAAATCTGTGCTGCTGTTGTGTCCCACAGTGACGTACTTTGTATGCAGGTCGGGTGTTGAGGAAAGTGGTTGATACAGTTTGATCTGTCTCATTTAGGTTTATGAGAGGAGCTAAACATGCTCATTTAGCTTCAAATGCACCCCACTATAAGTGTAATGGAGTTAATTATCATGTGGAGGCTTAAGGTCATTTCATACCCTCATAGAGGATCTGTCTGCAGTGCTGTCAGCTACCCACAGATGGCTATTTCGTCCAGTTCAGAGTGACAGTGGACACGGAGGCTTTGGAGATGACATTAAGCTTTGATGCAGCACAAATTTGTTCCAAGAGAATTCGAGCTAGAAAAGCCAACAGCAGCTGTTTTCAACACAAAAAAGACGGAGCTTGACATTTATAAATATCACAGCAACCCAGGTGAAAAGTACCAACAACATCCACTGCCTAATCTGCATTAGTTCACACTTTGACTCTAAGTGACAACAAAACACAACAACATAGGACAGACGTTTATAAGGGCCCATCATATATTAATTACAATGTGTCCAGAATAGTAAAGAAAATCTGCCAGCTTGGCTCTATGTGAAAGAAGACATGGAGACGTTTTTAATAATTAGTGTCAGTTGTATGTTGTGATTCATTCTCATATGTGAATATTAGCAGTGTGTCCTCTCAATGTAACTTATCATTCATGTGATGAGTTAAATGTTTGCTACATTATATCTTAAAACACTTAAATCTGTTTCCTCTACCTTTTGTGGGTATGTGAAAAATGTAGTATTGTTATTGTCAGATTGCCCACATTCACCTTTAACTTTTCATAATATATTCCAGTAGTCACTGCAGTTGGTCCTGGAGGTTTGGGTGAAATCATGTATTCCTTCCCATGTGAAAGTCCTGTTTTCAGTCGTAGTTTCAGTTTCAGTTGCGCATTAAACCCCTCTTTTCACGGACGCTCAACGTTTTTGTCAGTTACATTTAAGTTTAAATTTACTTTGCCAAGTGCTTAGATATGTGTCACAGTTAACCTTTGTTATCCTGACACCATGTTAACTTTGCATCTAAAGGCTTATTTTACTAAAACTGAATAACATCTGAGAAAGCAAATCTGAAATATCTGAAACATCTGAAATATAAAATATTCTTGTATATGTCTTGATCTTCTTCTTTTTTTAGTCTCTACAAAAGCCTTTTTCTTTTCGTATTTTACAACTTAGTCATCAAAAAACAAATTTTGTATAAAATATATTGTCCGTCATATCTAATTTAATATACTAATGTCTGTTGTATGCCATCTTTTGATTCATAACAGCTTCTAGGGACTGATGCACTACTGCCCTCACACCATTTATTAAAGGTTAATAAAATGCCAATGAAATCTTTATTCACAGGCACTAAATTTAGCTAAATGTAACCAAATGAATATTGTGGGGTGAGAAAAAAATAAACAAAAATAATTGTCTCTCTAAGTGAAGCCTAAAATTATGGTTTCAGTCATATTGCCAATGATAAAATGCTTCAAGCAGTAGGCGCGTGCGGAGGCTTTCGACTGCTGCTCGGTGAGGGTGGAGGACAGCAGTTTGATGTTCAAGCGCAGCTCAAAGGTTAAAGATGGTTGCACTGCCCTGTGGTCGTGAGGCGCGGCACCTCTGATGAGACGCGATTTGAGTCAGAAGGCGTATGCCACTTGCTCTTAACACTCGACTGGCTGGCTTTTCTCAGGAGCACTTAACTGGAACGAGGTCACAACTCAGCTGAGCCTCCTCTGTATTTAACCACCCAGTGCTCAGAGGAAGACACTACCCACACTAACCACACACACACATTATAAAAACGGCATATGCTATCATTTTAATTTTAAAAGCACATGTTGCACTCTGTCCTGTTCATTAAATAAACAACACCAGAGTTTTACTTTCTCCCTGCCATGTCCTTAATATATATCGTAATATTGTCATTTAAAGTCCATAGTTTTTTTTCAATGCATGGATATGTCAAATCCAGGCAAAAGTTACAGTAAATCCCTCTGGTTCTGATTCAGCCCTTTTATTACTTTCAGTAAGGGATGGTAATAATAAAAAGCAGCAAAGTTTTAGCATCCTCCACATCAAAGCCGTAAAAGACAGTGTGATGAAAGAGAGTGATACGATGACCAAAAGTCCCATTCTTACAGGAATCTTCCAGCCTTCGACAGCTAAACCACATGTAAAGAGAGAGGCAGTCCTATATCCTCAGCCAATTCTTACATCTCAAACCACAGTACTTCCCCCACAGCTTTGTCCAAAGCTTCCAGACACACTAACATACTGTAGCCATGTTTTTTATTTTTTTTTATTTGGTGCATTCTTGACATCCGCTTGATTTAGTGCAAGACATTATAAAAGCATCTACTTTTCTCTTTGTTTTTTCTGTGTGCACTGCATGTTTGATGGTGTAGGACAAACAAGAAAGCTTTGACAGCTATTTGAAATGTATACCTTGTCTCTTATGTGCTGGGGTTTTGTCGTTTAAGACTTGTCCACTCTTATTTTTACTGGTACATAATTTATGTATATTTCCACCTAATAATTACATGAACAGAAAATACAAATTTTGAGATTTAAACTCTACCTTCTTGTGTCCTGGCTAAGGACAAAGATCAGTCTGAAAAAATACAGCTAAAACAATATAAAATGTACATTTAGAGATTAAAATGCAACTATATAAATGGCACAAAACTGGATAAAATTCAACCCCATTGCCATAAAAGGATAACAGATGATCAAACACAATATATATAACTCTACATTGCTGCTTTTAATAGATGGGATGCTTTTTTAAAAATGTATTTCATGAGACCAGTCCCTTCATTTTCAGGTGGTTTTTCAGTTTATGAATATGAAAGAGATTGTAGGAACTCTCCCTTGGTATGTAACCAGAGGTGTTTCCAGGCCACAAAAGTGCTGGTTATGATCAGAGCCATCAGGGGTTTTGTCTGTGGGATTCAACTCACTCACAGGACAGAGCATCCCTCGATCACAGACACCACAAATCTTCAGGCAGCTGGAAGGGATTATGTGCAAGGGTTGGAACACATTTCACACTTCCAGTTACAATAGAGAGAGTTGTCTGGCTGTTGTCTTTTGAGGGGAAAAAGGGGTTCTTTATCATCAGACCACTACGGGGTCCAACTTTCCATTTTACAGCTTAGCCTGTACCCCTCTGGCTTCTGCTGCGGCTCTGCCTCTGGAACCT